ATCCGAGTCCTGGCAAGAGTGTCCAGCGTCTGCAGGCCACCCGCCAGGAACCAGCCCCATGAACCGCACAAGCAGCGCCTTCTTCCGTGCCCAGTGCTGGCACCAGCAGGGACGGGGCTGGAAGGGTTTATCTCAAGCCAAACCCACCACGAGGAAGGACCATCGCAATTCTACAGAAAGAAGTCTTCTTCCTCCTCCTTCTCCTCAGCCCACAGGAGCATTGTCCACCGAGTTTCTGCCTTTCTCGTTTTTCCAGACAATGGAAACGTGGACTAACAGCTCCATCTGCAGGTGGAAACGGGAACACCGATTTGGTGCAGCAGAGCATTCTGAAAGCATCACCAGGGAGCCAAGACAAGCACTGAATATTGCGGCAAGCCTAGCCATGCCTTGCTCCTGCCTCCCCTCTCTCTCATTCTCCTCCAGCTTGAATGGAGTTCTGAGAAAGGCCATCTGGAACCACGACTCTCCCTCTGAGCCCTATGATTGCCAGGGAGAAGCAGAGCAGGCCTGAACAAAGCCCTTCGTACCCTCTCCAGTCCCCAAAGATGGATTGAAAATTTTTGAAAGATTAGCATACACAGAAAACATTGTGCAGGTGTTATTGCCGTGTGATTTGCCACCAAGCGGGACAAACCCCTGCACATAGCAACCTGGAAGCGACCTCCTGGCCCATGCAAACTGCACTGCATAAGGCCAGTTAAAGCTCTCTGGGTCTTGGTTTCACACCTCAGCAATGTCCAAGGCAGGGCATCCTGCACAGCAAGTGCCTGAGGAAGGTGCCCTGCCTGGCATGGCAGGATGAAGGGGGAAGCCTAGCCCGCCCGGATCACACCGAGGGGCATCCACCAAAGCTTCTGCTTTTCCTCCCCCAGGTTGCACTCACCTCTCATTAATGCCATTTGCTCTTCCATCGATGGCGCTGGGGGGGGGGGGAATCCTGCCACCCCCCCACCCCCACAAGAAATAGCCTTCTCTGTTCTGAAGAGAACGGAAGAACCCTCATTGCCTGCACGGTTCCCAAGTGGGCTTCGCAAAATCAGATCAACTGCTTTTCTGCTCTTCTTTGGGTGTTCCTTCACATATCCACATAAAAAGTGGAAATTTGGTTGATAACTCAACACGTGGGTTTTACAATACTGGCATTCTCCTGCACCACATTTTAGAAAGGTGCAGGGGCAGAAGAACCCCTCTAAGAAGGGTTTTAGATGCAAGACACAAACACATGCAGGCCAGCCCTGACGGAGGAAGGATGGGATAGAAACGCTTGACTTCCCTGTTGCCGTCTCAGTGGACTCCTGGCTCAAAATCTTGCTGACACTGCTGCAATTAAGCATGAGGGT